CCGCACGTACTTTTATATGTGTTTCGACGTTTCTTATATTTCCTTACTCCTTCACTGCAACCTCGCTGAGCAAAGGTTTTAATTTTCATATTTCTTTTGATCAATGTTAACATGTGATCGTGTATATGCGCAAGTGTGTGTTGTGTGTGCGTGCGCCCCATCGTTACGTATAGAGGGTTATAGAAAAAACCAAGTTTTTCAATACGAAAAAAATACATATTTCGCATTTTTCCGATGTCAAAGGTCCTTTGCTGTTGTATACGTAATGATGGCAATACGCGTAGTTCTACGAGAAAATGTCTGTTGACGAAATCGCACCCAATCCGTCTTCGTTAAATTTAAAATTGCTGGCAAGTTAACATTATATCGTGTTTTCTCCGGGTAAATAAATATCGAAATATTGAATTATTACATGCAATCTTAGTAATGCTACCGACTCGGGAATCTTTGCGTATCTCGGTGGGATATTTTTATTTAGTCACCGGATTTCGCAGTAAGCTCGTGAATTATAGTTTTAAAAAAAACGTTTACATGGCGGCGACGGGGTGAAAATCACGAGTGCATAATATTATATTTTTAATTATTCTGACCGATAATATGTTTCCAATAATATATATTATTATGTATATACCGACCTAGGTATATGGTACACTGTAAATCAATTTGATTGATCACGGTATAATAATATATATTATATTATTTCAATTTATTTTCCCCCATGTTGGCGCCCGTACCAATGTGTTTGTGCTGGCATGCATTTTGGTACGCCATGTAATAAATGTATAGATCACCGATTACTAGTTAATTAATTGTCAACTGAGTGAGTACGCTCCACGGGTAGTGTACGTTTACCGGTATATATTAGTGCTTAACGTCAATGCTGATTTATCACATCGATTATGTTCACTGCGTTCCTATCTGTTTGCATATCCATTCGCCAATATCCGTTTTCCTCGGTCTCGTTTAACATTGTAATATATGGTTCATCATAAATATTGTTATGTCGGCTACAGTTCATACTTTATATACTCACAATATAATATGATATTTTGTATACGTTTACCGGATGTTTTGTAAAAATAATAATATAATCCGGACAACATTAATTTATTATTATTATAATCATTATTATTATATACCTACGATTTATAATATAGATAGGTAGCGTACTACCGTACGTTTTAGTTGATCGTTCACAATTTTGAAAACTGACAGAATAGACTATTATGTAAGTTCACAATTTTGTGAACTGACAGAATAGACTATTATGTAAACGAACAGTTAAGTTTTTAGTTATTATAGTTATTACGATATTATTCGTTATAAAACGTATACTATAACGTATTCCAGTGAGCAGTGAATCATCAACATGTCTTATTTAGATAAAATCAACGATTATACATTGTGTTTATTTTTGAATTTTACATAATATGTTTTGTAAGCCAATAATGTATTTATAATTTATACATATTATATATATATATATATATTTTTTTTTATTCATTGTACATCAACTACTAGGTTATTAGCTTTTAACAAAATAAATATTAGTTTGTATGTATTGTAATATTATGAATTCTATAGAAAACATATTTATATAATTAGGAAGTTTTTTTTACCATATCGTAGTTCAACTGTTATGTTTATTACCTATACCATTATTTTATTACGTCAAGCAAGTTTTTGTTATATTTCAAAGTGTATGAATACTATCGTACTAGCTTGGGTATTTAATAAAACTATGATAAATTCATGGCCGTCGTTAGGACTTGCGGGGACCAGGGAAATTAAAAATGGTTAGGCCTAAAAACGAAGATTAATTCGGACAAAATAGAAAAATAATGAAATATTATACAACTAAAATTTATTCAAAATTTTTTTAAAAAACAAAATTAGTAATACCAAAACTAACCACTGTGCTGCACATTGCTAACCACTTACTGAATTTAAACGAACATATATTATATAGACTTTTTTAGATATTTTAATTTTGAATTAAGTTTTGAATGGGTGGTATTTTAAGACTGTACATTTTAAAATGCTCATAAAGTCATAACTTACATCAAAATTAAAATATCATAAGAAGTCTACGTTGGCCCTTAGATTATTATTTTTTTTTCTAAAAATTAAAATGGAATAATAATACACATAGCCATATAGTTCACATTTGGAACAAAACTGAACGATATGAAACATATGAAATCCACACTGTGGCCTTTTTTTTTTATTTTTCCAAATGACTGGTACTTTTGATATTAATTGAGCGTTTTTCATGCTTTTACTGTATAAGTAGTATTATGTGATAATTGATTAATTATTTTTGATTCGTTTCTATATTTTTTTTTATTGAGTATCATCTGACATGTTACGGTTCAATTATGATTGAACTAATTGCACCAACCTACTGTCATGAGCGCTGAGCCCATATTTTAATTTACCTAGCCATTTTGCAATTAGAACATTGTTTGTGGATTGTAATTTCCCTTAGCTTTACTTATGTTATAAAGTGTTTCAAAGGGCCTAATAAATACTCGGATTTGGTAACAGTGAGAGCCGAGAGGTTGTCTAGGGTTAAATTGTTTGACGAATTTCTATGGAACAGATAATAACCTATAGTGCCCAGTATGAAGCTTAACGAACCAAGTATTGTTTGCATAACTTTCCAGCATGGCAGCATGTCCAATTGTATTTTCCTAGACTGTTCATAAATTATAATAAACACGTGTGAATCGACCGGTGTGGTTTTGGAATGTGTTTTATAGCTTACGAGCAAATTAATAACTCGTTAGCTTTGTTTTTACTAATTTAACAGATTATTGAATATAAGTCAAATTATTATAAATAAAATCATTTTTATATTTATTTTTATAAAATGACTATGCGTTTGCAAGTATAATGCATATCTGATATTTTATTCTATTTTTTCTTTTTTAATAATTCTATTATTGTACATAAATGTAACGATAATTTGTTTGTTTGACACAGTTATATTATGTCTGTAATACCATTTTATTAAAACCAAGTAATCGTTAAAAAGTATACTTAAAAAGACAAAACTAAACAGGGTGAATTACCAAGCATGCTCCGTCCCCATTTTATCCTTTAATAATAGATTAGGTATTCATGTTCTGATTTTTGGAATTTTTAGGTATACTTATATTTTTTTTTATAGATTTTTTTGTATATTTATATATTAGTAGATGATTTTTTTGAAAATGTTGACTTCTGTGAATCAAAATTCGGACTTGTAGTTTCTAAGTTATCAAAATGTTTATATTATTATGTTAATAATAATAGTACTTACTTCAAAAAAGTGCACGAAAATATAAAATATATATAATTATCAATCAAGTACCTACTTATGATATTCGGGAAATATACAAATTATAAAATAAAAATAGATTAGGTAGGTATTATGAATTAGTAATTACTACAATTTTCAATTCACCATGGGCCCATAATATCATGGAATATCTTCCATATAATATATTATATCATGGGCTCATTATCCTTAGTACACAAAGTCAAATAATACAAAAACTGCTCGTTAGAATTTCGATGTAAATACGTCAACATTTGTCAAAATATCATCTGCTTAACAATTTACAGGAAAAAAAAAACGTTGATTCCTTCTCATTTGAAAAAAAACAACTTTGTATCGTCACGGGACACGCCTTAAATGGTATACGAAAAATCAAAGTAGTATTTGGCCCTTACTTAAAAATATACAAAAATCAGAATTTGAATAAATTCATTATTAATGGGAACACGGTGGGGGAGGGGTGAGAGGATGCTTGGGGAATCACCCTGTGTAGGTATTTATTTGTTATCGTTAAGCGCTATAACTTTGAAACTAATAGTTTTTAAGAATTTTTAACGAGCGCGATTAATAATTAAATCGCATAAAGTTTTTAACTACCTACCTATAAAATATACAACAATGTAAACGATTGCCTACCTACTTTTGAGTATTTCATTATATTATTTAGATTCTGAGTGGAGAGTGGTTTTACAATGGTTTTTTTTTTTTTTTTTTATATCTTGTATACAAAATTTCTACCAGAAGGAGTGCTTCGATTTCAACCTACAGTACCTTATCTTTTAGCAAATTGGATCAAGATGGTATTTTAGAGAGGTCATTTTTCGATTTTCTCAATAATTATTTAATACCACGGGAAAAAACTACTGACCAATTACGAAAAACCGCTTAAAATGGGATTTTAATTTCAAACAATTTGTTTATCACCTTAGCAACGAATAAAAATTATAACATTATAATATTAATTCAACTTAAAGACTATAATAAATCATAAAAATTAAAAAAATTCCAGACTAATGAACCGCCTCCGCTCAGAATCGTTTTTCTTATACAATGATATTATATCACTGAATTCAAGTTTAATACAATCCATGCAATACATTGACCCACTTGTAATCTACTGTACAGCAGAGCGACATCCACTTACCTGCTTTTTACAAATTCATATTAAATTGTTCTTTTACCAATAAATTATTCGTGTCTATTTTTCAAAGGCAACACATTGTTTATTTACGTATTTATTTTCGTTATAACTATGCTAATACATCACAGAGGGCACGAAAGTGAATCACATGTCCTTGCCACTGTTTCGCCATAATATGCGTTATTTAATAATAACCATAGGTAGACGGAATGGCACAAATGGAGAGCTTACGTTGCGAACCGATCAAACCTTTGTTTGGCATTGTGTGTATATTTAATGAGAATTCACAGTTTTGCAAAATCGCACGTGTGCACAGCATTTCGAATGAATACACTACTCTATTCGGGGATTAGCTTTATTAAAACACACACCCGCACACCCACACACCCACACACACACACACACACCCGCGTGTAAGCAGAATAATATCCATCGGAAATTCTTCGGATGTGCTCAGCGAATTTACGGGCACGCATTACGTATATTATATTATACGATATTATATTATTATTATTATGTTTTATCGGTGTAGGCGTAATGACGACATTAATTTTTAATACGATTTTATGCACTCTCGTGTTTCAGCTGGACGGTCGAATGTTGGCGGGTCAAATGAAACGTGTCAGCGGCGGGGTCGGTAGAAACATAGCCGACGCTTTGGGCCGGTTCGGACACGAAGTCCGTTTCTTGACCGCTGTAGGGGACGATTCCGACGGCCGCTCGATAATCCAATCGCTCGGGCACATCGTTAGTATATATTATTATTATCATCATCATCATCGTTTCGTTATCTCTCGCGAGATTATCCATGCCAGCTATTTTCTGTGTCGTCGAGAGAGACCGATTTCGTTTTGTGTTTTTTTTTTCTATTTTATAGAACACCGACGACATCTCTGTGGTCAGCGATCAGTCGACGTCTTGGTGCGTGGTGTTCCAGAACCGGCAAGGCGACTGCATGGCGTGCATCGGCGACATGGAATGCCACAAGCGAATAACTATTGACATGGTAATTTACGGGGACGTTGGATTATAATTTATAATTTAATTCCTTTTGAAATATTATCGAAACGATTTAATACCGGGGACGTGACGCGATCGCATGCATATAATATACCGCTGTATAGGTAGGTAGGTAGTATGTACTAGGTACCTATAGTATATAAGTGTGCACACCGAGTAACCTAAAGTCCTTAGTCGAATAATTTGTTTCCTCTGTTAATTGAGTTTCTTGATACCGTCCCACCGACGCGACGTTTCAATCACACCGCAATGAACCACTTCTCTCTGTCAAGTCAATATTTTTATTACTTCGACAAAATCGAGTGCTCGAGTACCTATGCTCGATTAATATCCATTAGTCTTAAGGCTTCATTCATTTATAATATTTTATTTATGTTGCAACAATAGAAATTACGAACTTAAATTTTTTTTTTAAACATATTTTGATTAATTATTCAATATGAAAAATGAATAAATCTATAAAATTCATTGAATAAATTTAAATATACAATGTAAACAAAATGCTGAATGTTAAATAACTAAATGTTATTATCAATGATAATATACAATTAATATAATGCATAATATACATATTATATAATGTATATTTTATTATTGATCTTTTTTTACAACTTCAGCGGCCGAAATGATCATTAGTTACATTGTAATAATTACTGATTACCTACATAATATTATTTTAATGCAAGGTTAGATATATTACAATAATCATGGTACTTAATATATAAAAAAAAGTACAGTAAAAAATCGTCAATTGATTTAAATATTCAATTTTAAAATTATATTTTACCTAATATTATTAATTTGCTTTTAAAAACTTAATAATTAAATTGTTTTGGTTCGGGTTTGGTCCGAGAGCTAATAATATATTATATTATAATATTATACCAACTGATTATATGTACAGTTAAAATGAGAAAATGTTAATTAAATTATACAGCTACCTATTTTACATTTAATTTAATTTTTCAAAAGAGTTCTTATATAAATATTCACATTCACATAGGTATCATACTTTTAGGTGCAAAGAAATTAAAAGTTTATTTACTATAGTTTTTATGATTATTACAAGAATAATTCTAGTGGTGTTCAAATAAATCTAAGTAGTAAAACATTCATGTTTACTTAATGACTTGATAAAAATTAAAGTTTTTGTAATTACTTTTAGTGTCTGAAATAATATGTACTTAACAGACTACGAATTTAAAATGAATTATGGTACTTAATATTTCGTATACTACGTTTAGTTTATAATACACAAATTGTTTTGCAATTTATTGTGAAACTAAGTAAAAATTAAAAGAAATTAATTTAGAAAGTTGTCAAATACGATCATCGAACAAATATATAACAATGTAGAATGCAATTGCTCAAAAGTTTAGTTTCAATTAATTCTATCAAAAAGTTTGCAATTTGAAGATAGAGTTGAATCATGTGAAACACGGTATTGCATTATATATTTTTAAATTGCTATTGCTCATAATAGTTATAACTTACATCTCTCTCATAGTTCTATAGCAATCAATTTCTTCTGTACCTTCTATTAAAATAACTATTAGCGTGTCAAAGTCACTTTTAATTTATTACATTTTTTTTTAAAATTATTATTGCTTATCAATCTGTTAAACAAAAAAAAATTAAATATATGATTGGGGATAAGAAGCAGTTAATTTTACAATATAATGTTTGATTTTTATTACTCTTTACACTTTAAACTTTTTGTGGTCTTAGAGACTTAGAGCAGTGACAATAATGAAAAACGTACATGTAACACTATATTATAAATTGTATATTATATTGTAATATTATGATAGATGCTATTTTTCAAACGAACCTGTGATTTTCATTAAAAACTGATACAAGAAAGCATCCGTTTTTAACATAATTATGTTAATCATTTTTGAATTAACCTAACTTAATTTACAATCACGTACCTGTATCAAATTCAATTATATTGTCAAGTTCAAATAGTTTCAATATTATTTCAGAGTAATTTTATCGGTTATAATTTATTGCATTGAAAATTAGTTTTAAATTTAGAAAACCATTTTGATCCCACGAATTTTTATTTTTGACTTTGCCAAGTAGGTAGTCATAGAAAAGAACTATGCACGCTTTTTACTTTTTATGCTTGCATTTTATGTTACTTAAATTATTAAGTAAATGCCTATTTCGGTACCAATCAACCTAATTTATTCAATTTAATTATATATAATTTGTAGATTACAACAATACGTCTTTTACCTGGGACTTTATAGGGCACTCGTGAATATTAATAAATTTGTTTAAAATAAAAATGATTTCACTGCTGAAAACCATATATTCACCACGCTAAGTGATACTGTGCATAAAAATAAAAAGAGTTGATATTCGAATACCTGATAGGTAGTTCAGGGAGCACTTAGAATCTAGCCATCGTTGTCTAATACCTGTACTCCGTAGATTGTTAAAATACGTTTTTATTAAAATAAATTGTATAATAATATTATAATAATTAATATTAATTCATGAATCTCGTCATCGGTATTGTAACGACATCATTCCGTGTCCGAAAGATCAAGAAAAATATTGACGCTTTGTACCAGAGTCCGCTCGTGGTTATCGATGGAAATGTTTGTCCGGAGACAATGGAATTTGTAATTGGATTTTGTAACGAGGAAAACATACCAGGTAAGGGCTCGGTTTTCCAAAACGGAGTAAATCTCTTTTGGAAATTTTATAGTTTCTCTAGTGATTTGTGATTTGTTGTTCACTGCAGTATACTTTGAAACAACTGACATTGCTGTGGCTTCCCAACCATTTCATTCGGACATGTGGAAAGGGCTTTCCTTTATGTCTCCAAACTTGAAGGAGTTACAAGAAATTTCAAAAAAACTTACAGGTAACCATTATCATACTTTGATCAAGTTTTTCAAATTGGTTCTTATAACTTACACTTATACATATTTAGCACATTTTTATGATTGTAATATTTATTTAGTGTTTTAGTATTTTTATGATCTTGGAGTCACACAGTTTGAATGCACCATAATAAATATTAAATTTAGTTGCCAGTTTTACATAAAACCATTGTTTGCACAATATTGCACGTACTTAAATTTCCTCACTTATTTTAAATGAAATAATTTTAAGTGTCAACAAACATCAAAAAAAAAAAAATATCATCGTAGTATTTTCATAAGATATATTTATTTTTTTATTTTGATAATTTACTCCTTAATTTATTTTTTTAAGCCTACGACTTAGGTATTAATAATTAAAAAAATATTTTCATTAAATGCAATAAATTTTTTTTCAATCATTTTTTTTACACTGAATATTTTCTACGGTTATTATAGGTAGTAATTAAAAATTAAATAATTATTACTTTTTATCGTTTTCTGCTTAATTTTTATTTCATCAAAATAAAAAAAATATTTTTCAGTAATGTATAATATTTTCTTTTGAGAATTCTCAAATTAAAAATAAAATTGTATTGTTACAAGTTTTGTCATTCCTTACCTCAAAAGTTTTCGCTGCTTACAATATATTATATTATTATAATTCCAATTGATTAACTAGCTGTTCCTTTTAGTGCCTCTCGCTGTTATACATATTTGCTAAAGGGCTAAAGGCGTTTATCACTGTTTTATTTACTTATTTAAATTAGTTACGCATAAGAAGTTGTATTGCACATTTGCACATGAATAATTTTGACGATCAAACAATGCACAATCTGTTCATTTATTTTCTAGGACGTTACGCCTTCATTAATAACAACAAATATAAACAGAATAACTATTATTGTTTTTACACAAAGTTAATAAATCACATTAATAAACAATTTAAAAACACTAATTTATAGTTTAATATGTAGTCCAGTATTGAAAGTCATTAATTTAATATGTTAATTATTTTAGTTGCTAGATGAAAGCCTATATTAACCTATATTCTTGTGGATCAAATTATTTGATATATCTACTAATAAATAATGTGACATTAAGTAGGTATTTATTCTATTCTATTTTTTTTTAACAAAAATATGTTTTTGGGCTAGATACAAGATAAAATATTTCTGACTGATATTTTTCTTGGAGTTTTCGTTGTAATGGTTACTATTATTAACGAAAACATATTTCAGATTCTTATAGATTTCCCTTGTAGCTGAGGAAATATATCGAGTAGCGTGATATGGATTTTGTTTTTCTGACAGATTTTTCTTAAGGTATTTTTGTTGTCACAGTTACTATTATTAACAAAAAAATATTTATGATTCATAGATAGACATCCTTGTAGAGGAAAAATATGAAGTAACTGTTCTATTTTTTTTTTTTAGAATTTATACTCAATTTAACGAATGATAAATGATAATACAGACATATTATTCATATATGTTACTGTATATTTTTTATTCGTCGATAGTTTTATTTCTAATGAATGTTTTAGAAATATGGTTTTGTACAATTATTAATGTGTTGGAAGAGAGCCAAAATTATTATAATTTATTGTTGATATATTTGATTTACCCGATTACCTGAATTAAAAATTCAAAAAATTTTAATATTTGTTTTTAACAAAATTGAGATAGCTTTATTTATAGAGTTATAGAGGTAATTTATATTAATATTTTAAAAGTTGAGCTACATCTTTCCGTTAGTTTTGAAAATAGCTATGTAAGTTTTACAGACTACTTAAAAAGCGAGAAGAGGAGCATATTAATATGCAGGAGATATGCTCGAGGAAAAACGTCGTGTGACATAACGCAAGTATTTATTTTGCATACGATTCACTAGAAACCATAATTATTTTTCTATGAGAATAATATATACATACAATATACATTAAACATGTTGTATTTATTTCCTGCTTTTTTCGGAGACTTTAAAATGAAGTACGTGGTAAACCATATTATGTATTCTTTAAATAAAATATTTAAAAATAACAGGAAAATTTGGCTTTGATCATCTTTATTAAAATAACGGTACTATCTACTAGTAATGGATGTGTAAATAATTTTATGTATAGACCTCAACCTTTATATAGTGCACATTGTAACAATACCGTATCTCGCTCATTCAATTCAGAAACCGTTGACCGGTCAACTATATACAAGAGGATTAAATTTGAAAAACTCATTTTCCTAAAATTATTAACTTTTTTAGAAATATTTTTTTTTTTGTAATAGAAGTCATTGCAAAATAAAATGTTGAAAAACAATATTTTTTTCTACCAATTTTTAAATGTTGTTTTAACGTTGTCTTATTTAATAACAGCAGACGTTTTTAATTACATATTCCAAAACAGCTGAATGTTTTTCTAAGATATGGAAACATCGAATTTGAGTAGTAGTGTCCAAAACTGAGAAGACAATGGCAATGGAGGGGGCAAGTAGGGTCTTGTCACCTATACTAGTTTAACACAATAAAACAAAACACAACATGTGTTCGAATTTGTGCGGGAAAAGAATACTAAGGAATACCATGGCTTTAACATTCACACTGTCTAACGTGTGGTGTGGACACTGCACAATATATATAATGTACATATGTTTGTATTGGTGAGGTAATCGTTAAAATCGTTTTTACGAGTCAAAAAGAAAACGGAAATCAACGGCGATGCGAGGATAAGTCGTGAAAGTGCCGTTATCGATAAGCAAACCACAGACTTCTTACAAATCCCTGACAGCAAAAGAATTGTGGGTTTTCGTCGCCAATCGGAGATCGAAATCTCATGATTACTCTCCCGTGTATTTTTCATTACTTATATATATATATATATATTAAGTGAAGTGTCAGAAGAATAAATTGGCTCAAAAACGATATACATATATATTATATATATTTTTTAAATTATGATTTCATATTTCTATTGAACGTGTTGGTTTTTTTTTATTTTTATTTTTTTATTGGAATACATTTGTATTCTGTTTGTAGAAAACATGGCGTTACGAGGTATCCCTATTGAAATTTATATTTATTACTAAATCCAAAACCGTGGATATTTGACGGTGAAATATTAATTCTATAAAATACAAAATAATATTATAGTACGTTATTATTGTTGATGCAAATTCACAAAAAGCATCATTTTCTCTACCTACTTTGGTAGTTATTACTTATTCAACTCGAATTATGTTGTTGTATAATGGTTTTATTGCTAAAAGTAAAATCTTCCTAAAAGTTGTTTCATGAGACATTCAAATATATTATTATTATTATTATTATTACTTTCAACTAATTTTTTTTTATAAAATAAATAATTCAAAAAAATATATTGACCGTTGGTTTGTGACAAATGTATTCTTGCCATGTTTTGTATATAATTCGACATAATAATCCCATTGTAGTCTACATTTATTGTATGGAACAATAACTTTAAACATTTTGAATGATGTCTATGTATTTACATTTTAAGGGTTACTTCAAATAATATAAAACGTTATTATTTACGACCTTATAAATACTGTGGGTCTACATTTGTTACACAAATTTCATATTGTTTACACTTGAATTTAAATTAATTTATTAAATTATAATAAGCTTTTAAATGTATTAATTTTCTATATTTTTTCTGGATTTATATTTTTCAATACGATTCTTGAGTATTTAATATCTTACTTAAATTATTCAAAAATCGTGTAATAATAATGTATGTTTTAAATAGATGTTTTATTAAAATTTTAGATTGCCATCATAGACTAACATGTTACTTTTGTTATTTTTCCAATAAAAACCTTTTACTATTGTTTCGATTCTTGAAGTAATATTATATAGACCGATTAAAATAGAATAATACACAGATTTCTAGTATGACGAATTAAAAAACAACTTAAATTATGAAAAAAGGTAACTAATTAAAAAAGAAATAATGAAATGTCTGACTAAAAATTCCATTATATATGTTAGCTCTGTTCGGTACCTATTAAATTTAAAATGAGAAGCTAGTAGCTACATTAATTTCTTTGAGGTTTAATAAGAGTACACATCTTTAATCAAGAACGGTCATTAACTAGTTAAGTTGTATGACTTGTATATAAACAACTTTTTAACTTCCCTTGAGTAAGTTGGAAAGAATAATATACACAAACATCGTTTTTAATGAGAGAAAAAAAAATTATATTTTTACTTTAATTAGTCAACTGCTGTTAAACGGTTTAAAAACTATATACTGCACAAAAATATAAAAATACTATCTAGTGCTTCATAGTTATTATTTACATTTAACCATCAGTGGTGTCAGGCATCAATCAATATTGTTTATGCCAGCCAACTGCCAAGGTATTGATGAGAGCTATAATAAGTACTTACTTAATTATTTAAATTTCACAATTTATGTCAATTAGACATGTCTTGTCGCATATTATACCAGTCAGGAATTCGGTTTGGAGATTTCTAAAGTTATTACAACGAAATTTATACCAGTAAAATAATACCACAGCTGCTTATGGCGTAAATTATTATAATGTCATAGGCAAGAGGTAACATGTTGAAAAAACTATTATATATGATATCATAAATAATTCAAATTTGTTATAGTTTTCGAAATGGTTATAGTATTATCGTATTCGGCTATTTGTTATACGGGGGGTAGGTACCGTGTAAGTAAGTATAAGTACCTATTTTAGAACTGAAAAAATGTATTTTTTTTCATGAGAAATCTAATATAATGCCAATAAAAATCTATTAGGTATAGGTGCTTAATAACAGTCCACAATGTAATCATAAAGATTTTTGGACGTGGAATCGGTAAATAAGGATTCATATTTTCATAGATGTTTTCGACTATTTTTCCATATTATAATGTACTGACGGGTGTTGTTGATGATTTTGTATTCAGTAATTTCTCTTCCGCTCATCGCCAACACTTCAGTCATATACAACCATCTAGATGGAGTTGATTTTA